TCATTTTTTGGAAATGATAATGGCTTTACCATACCTGCTTGAAATTTGTCATAGATTACACCTAGTGAATACATTCAAATGTCAGGACGAGCCGGAAGACGCGGGAAAGATGAAAGTGGGACAGCCATATTGATTGTCGACGATTCAATGACGACGGGCGTTGTCAAGCAGATCTGCATGGGTCAACCAGACCCTCTTAACTCCGCCTTCCATTTGACTTATAATATGCTGCTCAATCTCCTTCGTGTTGAGGAGATCAATCCAGAATATATGCTTGAAAGATCGTTTTGCCAGTTTCAGAATTATGCAAGCCTCCCTGATCTACAACAGCGTGAGTTTTTTATCGTATATTGTCGACTATTTAGTTTTGTATATCTATAAATATTGTGTGTTATTTTAATGGCATTTTAATATCAGAGTTATGAACGGAATTCGTTGAAGTATCATTCGTGAGAATATCATTATTTTCAGTCCCAGTGTACGTTTTAATCCAGGAGTTGTTTATAAAGCCCCTAGAGTCACATACACTACCGCCTCACCAAGCAGAGCACCTAGGCTCTTATTCCCATGCCTGAAGATATTAGACATTGCCTTCACAGGTCGCCTCCTTGATTAAACTCGTTTTTTACGCATTAAACTATTGTTTCGAGACTACCAGTAAATCAGTAATATGAGATCTATTCACCCAATTTCGTTTAAGGTGATGAAGGACTGGTAAAAGAATTTTCCCACAATGATATGAGTAGATCTGACGTTTCAATTGAATTTCACATAGCCTTGATTTCTATTTGCGTGCCTATAATAACTTGCCTGACTATTCATAGACAATTTTATGGCCACCTTTATTTAAAACATATTTTTGGCCTCTATCACTATAATTCTTTCTATTGTTCGATAGTGACCTCGTATGCAGTTCGGCACGTTTTACTTTTCAGGAAATATTACCTCACCTTTCAGCAACCGTTCTTTTGTGACTTACTACTAAATATCTTATGGGAGCCTTGTGTACACATCTTATTCACTTTCTCTTAATAATTGTTTCAGGGATCAATATCCTAAAATCCAAATATGATGTAATGGAAGTTGAAGAGGAAGAGTCTGTCGACTCTTACCAACAAATTGGTCAGTGTCTTCGTGGCCTAGTAACGAAACAATGGAAATATATGCGACGACCACAATATATTGTCCCTTTTCTTCAGCCTGGACGGCTAATCAGAGTGAGCTCTATACTTTATTTTCTTACTTGATGGCTTGATGATGTTTTTGATGGTGATAATATATTATATAAGCAAATTATTCTATAGAAAGCCACCATTATTATCTCATTTAAAAAATAAATTGAGGATCACTCCATAATAAGAAAAATTGTGTATATGGGGAGACCTGATGGTCTATCCGGAAGCGTTTATATGCTCACAAAACTGGCTGAAAAGGTTTATTGATGCAAATAACTGAACTGGCTTATATAGGTCATTTAATTGAATAGCATCAAATAAAATCTTATGTGGACCTAGGAATGTGAGTTATAAACGAAAGAGTTACGTTCCTGTGGAATGCAAGGTCACTGCTTTATCCAATACTAATGTTGAACATAAAGTGTGAATTCGCTTTTTCACGTGAAAAGGATCATGCCCTTGAAATACTGGTTGAATTAATTTAACGGGTAGGTTGCCGGAAGAGCTTAAGGACAGCATGAATTTAAAAGTGATTCCTCAATTCTACCAAGTAACTATGCTAAAAAATTTTTATCTAAGTAGGATTCATAACCTTTTATGTTATACTAAATGGATATTCTTGAAGACAGAGGGGAGTGGCGCAGTCTTTATTGATAGGGTTAACTACATCTAAAAGATACAACATAATTTAAATGATAATACCTATTTACCGGCTCAAGAGTGTTATTTTTGTGTGTAAAGGAGGAAATGAAATCACTTTTTTACAGAGGTAGCGGAACGCCTTAAGCCCATGGATTTCCCAAGATATTTAAAGAAGTAATGCTTTCGGGATTGGTTGCTAGTAGTAACAGTTGAATATCATTAAATATTTAGCGTTCCTTATGCAGAATTCTATAAAACCATGGTCGTTGGGCCGTATTCCAAGAACTTCTTCAGAAAATCCCAAAATCGCAAGATTGGGGCGATCATTGCCCGTTTTTCGGTAGTAGAAAGGGGGGCAGAATGAGGGTCGGAGCACTGCAAACAGCACCTGATACGGGTGGTGGAGATGATTACACTTCACAAAACCCACTTGTTGCGACACATTCTTAGGCGACATTGGAGAAAACGGGAGCACAGAATAGTGTGAATAAATCGATGGACCATATGAAGCGGGGTTGAGAGAAAGAGATGTGACACTATAAGATAGAATAAAAAATAAGGGCAAGTAGTGATGCCACAACGGTCTAGCAGAAAATTGGCCAAGGGGATTGCCTTCACTTGCCACTGATAAGTTGTAACTCTGTGCCTACGATGGCGCCTCTCACTGACGATGCCGCCAAAACGTTTGGGAATGTACCCAGCCAATGGTCCAATGCTGGAAATCACGAATACTATGGCAGGGGGCACGGGACTAGGTACGTTCCTCAATTTCTTCCTGACACTCCGATCAAGTTACGAAAACAGGCTCGAACCAACGCTATAATGCTAAAGGGGCCTGCAGCCAAACAAAAGGCCACACCATCTTGGTCTTTTTATCTACAAACTCTTCATAGTTCTCGACCATCTTCCGGATGATGTTGCCAACCTTACCCAACATTTCATACGTAATAGACAAGACCAGGATTGCTATGAGAAGCTTAGGCAGAGGATCATTGGACTCAGAACTTCTTCAGAACCAGAGAGGATGAAATATCTTATTAGAGGTTAAAGTTTTACGAGATCAAAAGCCATCTGTTCCTTTAGCTCTCTTACGCCAACATTCCGATTCTAATCCTCAAGTTGAACCTATATTGCATCACATATGGATACAAAGACTGCCGGTTGAAGTCCAGATTGCCTTGAAAACCTCAAGGGGCCAAATTTTGGAAGAGGCCGCTAAGATTGCGAATGATGTGGTGGAAGCAGTCACCCGACGAACATATTCTGTTACCGTCATCCAAGAAAAGCGCACATTCAGATTTGAGACAATCATGGAGACAATGCCAGAAATATTAGAAGCTATGCAATTAAAATTTGAGGAGCGTCCTCTTCCTTCGAATTCCAGGGCACGATCATCTCCAATGCACCGTCGTCCAAGCCCGGGAAGATGGTGTTGGAAACACAAAAATTTCGGATTTCGAACACATGGTTGTGTTTCCCCTATCCAAATCAAGTAGAACTATCAAATTTGGGTGTCGGCATGCAAGTTAAAGTCATAGACTTGGCATTAGGGATAGAAAAGTGAGAGAAACAGTGGCGACCATTTCTAGTTAGCTATTATTAGATAGGTTTACTCATAGACATGGTCCATGAAGTAAAGGCTTGACTACGAGTTTTACTCAGTGCACATGCCGCATATTGATAAGGGAATCTGCAGCGTCAAGTTAGGTTACCACGACAATTGAGGATCCAGACTTTAGGGGCTTGCTCATTGAGGCTGGTGTACACGTGCTATCATAGGCTGGGGACAGAGTGTGGAATATAACGCCTTGAGTAGCACGGATACGGTGGCAGTGAGAATGACATCATTGAAGCAGGCAGATTAGGGAAGGATCCTACGGAGCATGAGGGGTCTGATAAGACTCAAAGGGAGAGGACTACGGATTAAACCGCAGCCTTGGATCAACACTCGGCACAGTGGGAGGGATATAGAAGCCAGCGGCAAATGTGAATTTGTTTCAAATAGGTTTAGATAAATAAATAAGAAATTGTGATATTGGAGAGGTGATACGAGGATATAGGATAGGCGAATAGCCCAGGACAGAAGGAAAGGTACCACAACTGTTTAGCAGGCATTTTATC